CCACAGGGTCTCCAAGGCTGTCAATCTTCACAGAAGCAAAGCCCAAACCACACCCACTGCAGTTCAGTTGATTCTGACTCACAGCGCCCCTAGAGGATGGAGTGGAACTGCCCCACGGGGTCTCCAAGGCTGTCAATCTTCACAGAAGCAAAGCCCAAACCACACCCACTGCAGTTCAGTTGATTCTGACTCACAGCGCCCCTAGAGGACAGAGTGGAACTGCCCCCATAAAGCTGTCAATCTTTATGGAAACAGACTGCATCGCCTTTCTCCCGCAGAGCGGCTGGTGGGTTCGAACTGCCAATCTTTTAGTTAGCAGTCCAATGCTTGGACCACTGCACCACAAGGACTCCTAGGTCAGGTGAGGTCCAGAAATTCTGCTGAAGAATTTGGAATTTCTCCTGTGAGCAGTGGGGAGCCATGGGAGGAGTGTGAGCACAGGAGGGGCAGGGCCAGCTCTGGATGTAGAAGGACCCTCAGGGCCACATGGCGGAGGGAGGGACTGGAGGCCGGAAAGGAGGCCGGGCGAGGGTCCAGGAAGAGAGGACAGGAACGACAGGGGACAGAGAGAAGGGAACGGGGCTGAGAGACTCAGGGGGCTGGACAGGACGGACAGAGCTTAGAGACGGGGGGGGGGGGGAGCGAAGACATCTGGCCCAGTGACTGCAAGAATGCTAGGCTGTGTAGGATGGGGAACTTAGGAAGAGGAGTGGGTTAGAGGGAAGACGCTCAGAGGGAGGTAGGGTGTGTGACGGGCCTGGGAAGACACAGAAACGCCGCTCTGGGTCAGAGGAAAGAGGTCTAGCCTGGAGATGGTGACTTGAGACTCAGGTGCTGAGAGTGACAGGGAGGGAGCCATGGGAGGGTTTGGAGTGGCAGGAGAGTAGGGTCAACTTGAGTATCACAGGAGGCTGGGGAAGAGGAAGCCTGAGCTGTCACCAGCAGAGGTGGGGTGCTCTGACAGGACACCGCCTCCTCCTCCAGGAAGTCTTCCCAGATTTGCCCCACCCTACCACATTTCCGTGACTGCAACAGATGGGCTCAGGCATAGCAAGGATCGTGAAGTTAATGCAGGGCAGGGCAGTGTTTTGTTCTGTTGTACACAGGGGCTCTCGGAGCCCTGGTAGCTCGACGGTAAAGCACTTGGCTGCTAACTGAAAGGCTAGTGGTTTGAACCCACCCAGCGGCTCCAGGAGAGAAAGACCACTGTGTTCCCATAAAGATTACAGCCCAGAAAACCCTATGGGCTTGCTCTACTGGGCACCCCAACAACAGTCCGTTCTCACCCTCCTCCCCCTGGGGGTAGGGAGTGCAAGGGTCCGGCTGGACCTTGTCTCCAGCTGATGAAGGTATGTGTGGGGGGCAGGGGCGCTCAGCCACCGGATGGGGTGTGGGGGGATCGTGGCACCTCCTACTGGCTCTGGCTCCTTCCCCGCCCGGGAAGCTACCAGTCCTGTCGGACTCGCTTGCCCGGGACGGACACGGCTGCAGGCTGTGGGTCTCGTGTCAGTGTCCCCGCGGGTGCGGCCAGCACCATGGACATCTCGTGGGCCCTACTGCTCTTCCTGCTCCTGGGTGAGCCCCTGCCCAGCCCCTTCCCCAACAGCCCCTTTCCCATGAGCCCCCTTTCCCAGGAGCGCCCCCACCGCCCTCCCTTCCTCTCCTCGGCAGCCTCTAGAGAAGGGGTCCTAGCCCCCCAGAGCCTCCTCTCCAGCTCAGCGAACCCATTTCTCTTCTGCTTTAGAAAGTTCTTCCCAAGACGTGGATCCGAAAGGTCCCTCCACTGAAGTCACCAGCCGGAACCTTCCAAGTTCAAAAGCCTCGGCTGACATCCCTGATTCCCAATGGTTTACTGAGGTGCTGAGTTCCAACGACACGTCTGGGTCCCTCTGGGCCAATGTTATTCCCGAGGGCCCACATTTGAAATTCCCTGCCGGGACCCAGGATCGCACCTTCCCTGAAACCCCTGGGTCCGAAGCCGGGCCGGAGGGTGCTCCCAAAGACGCTGGGCCTTCCGTCCCTTTGAAGACCCCAGTTGTCAACATCTCTGCCCAAGTCCCAGATATCAAAATCGGCTCAGACTTTTCCCCCGAGGATCCTGGACTCTCTGCCCAGAACCCGGAGTCTGCAATTTCTACAGAAGCCCACCCAGCCTCAGGCTTCCCCCAGCAAGCGGGGGGACCCCTGGCAGTGCTGGTGGGCACCCCCATCCGGCTTCCCGTGGTCCCAACCCCAGACCCCGGGCCCCCTGCCCCACTGGTGGTCTGGCGCCGGAGTTCCACTGTGCTGGCAGCCGGGGGCCTGGGACCAGGGGCCCCGCTCATCAGCCTGGACCCTGCTCACGGACACCGCCTGCGATTTGATCAGGCCACAGGGGGTCTGGAAGTTGCCTCTGCCCAGCTGGGAGACGCGGGGGTCTACACAGCAGAGGTCATCCGGGCCGGGGTCTCCCGGCAGATTCGGGAGTTCACGGTGGGCGTGTATGGTAAGTGGGTGCTGGGGCCTGCTTCATTCTGGAAGTTGTGGGACAGTTCACTGTGTGCTCTGAGAACGTTTGTGTCCCTGCAGCCAAACTCAACCCACTGCCTTCCAGTAGATTCCAACTCAGCGGCCCTCTAGGACACAGCAGAACTGCCCCATAGGGTTTCCAAGGCTGGAATCTTTACGGAAGCAGACTGCCACAGCTTTCTGCCTGGCAGCTGCCGGTGGGTTCGAACCACTAACCTTTCAGTTAGCAACTTAGTGCGTTAACAAAACAAACCTGTTTGTGTTTTGGGTGAAAGTTGACAGAGCCCGTTTGTTCTCCATTCAACAATTTATACACATTTTGGTCCATTGACGTTCGGTTTATAGGCTTGTCTGTCGTTTGGCTGAAAGGTGATCATCTTCACAAACGGGTTCGGGTCCAGGGTTGAAGGGTGTCTAAGGGCCATAGTGTCATAGTCTCTCTCAGACCAACAAGCCTGTTCTTTTTTCCCCAATAATTTTCAGTTTGGTTCAAAACATTTTTCTCCAGTCTGTCCAGGCCCTCCTATCGCAGTCCCTTTCATAGTGGTCAGTCATGGAGCTGGGCACCATGTGGTTCTTCTGGTCTCAGGGTCCTGGAGGCTGGGGTTCGTGGGATCCATTGGTCCTTTGGACTAAGTGTTTCCTTGCATCTTTGATTTTCTTCACTCTTCTTTGCTCTGGCCGGGAGAGACCAATAGCTCCACCCACAAGCTTTTAAGACCCCAGTCTCTATTCACCCAAGTAGGATGTAGGACGTTGTCTTTGTTTATCAAGCATTTTAAGCAATGCACCACCAGAGTTCCTTAAGGTCTCTGAGGGAAGGTGCAAGGGGCCTTGGTGGGCGACGCATGGATGCTTAAGGACGCTGACCTTGGGGACAGACTCCTGGTTCTCAGGGGAGGAGGCGCCAGGCGCGCCCAGACTCATGGGTCAGTGACGGGTGGGGGCTGGCCCTGCCCTCAGTCCTGGATCCAAGGGACCAGGGGCCGGGCCCTGAGCGCGTGCCTCCTCGCAGAGCCCCTGCCGCAGTTGTCGGTGGAGCCCCAGGCCCCGGAGACAGAGGAGGGGGCGGCCGAGCTCCGGCTGCGCTGTGTGGGGTGGCGGCCGGGGCGCGGGGAGCTGAGCTGGAGCCGGGACGGACGGGCCCTGGAGCCCGGCGACCCCGAGGGAGCGGAGCCGCCCCGGATCCGCGCGGAGGGCGACCAGCTGGTCATCGCGCGCCCCGTGCGCAGCGACCACGCCCGGTACACCTGCCGCGTGCGCAGCCCCTTCGGCCACACGGAGGCCGCGGCCGACGTCAGCGTCTTCTGTGAGTGGGGCGGCGCCTCGGGCTGGGGACGAGGGGACGGAGGGCTCACTCTCCGGGGGTCCTGGAGGCGTCCCATCCCGCTCTCCACCCAGACGGCCCGGACCTGCCCGCCATCAAGGTGTCCTCCGACCGCGACGCCGGCCCCGCCCTCTACGTCACCGCGGGCAGCAACGTGACCCTACGCTGCAGCGCCGCCTCACGGCCGCCCGCCGACATCACCTGGAGCCTGGCCGACCCGGCGGAGGCCGCCGTGCCCGCCGGCCCGCGCCTCCTGCTGCCCGCGGTCCGGCCGGGCCACGCGGGTGCCTACGCCTGCCTCGCCGCGAACCCACGTACCGGCCACCGCCGCCGCTCGTTGCTTAACCTCACCGTCGCGGGTGAGCGCGGCCGGGGCGGGGCAGGGCTGGGGGCGGGGCCTTGGCGGGGCGGGGCAGAGCCGGAGGGGCGGGGCGAGTGGGGGAACACCAGGGGGAGGGCGGGGCCAGCAAGAGACCGGGGTGCTCGGGGAGGGGCACAACCAAGCGAGACAACAGGATACCTGGGTGAGAGTGCGAGGCCGGCGGGGATACCCGCGAGGGGCAGGGCCGCCAAGGACAAGGATACCTGGGAGTGGTGACCAAGCGAGAGGGGCGGGACGTGGGAGAGAGGGCGGGGTCAGAAAAGGGCGGGGCTAGAAGGGGTGCAGGATAGCAGGGGAGGGGTGAGACAAAACTGCCAGGAAGGGTGACCAGGTGAGAGGGTGGAACAGCAAGAGGAAGGACACGGCCCAGAGAGTGGGAAGGGAATGCGTGGAAGGCGGGTCTACTCGACGGAGGGGCGGGGCCAGCGAGGAGACGTGGAGATTGCCTGAAGGGGCGGGGAAGCCCAGGAGAGGCGAAGGGACCTCGGTGCACTGCGGGGCAAAGGTGGCGGGGTCAGCAAAGAGGAGAGATACCCACGGAGGGGATGGGCCCAAAGGAAGGGGTGAGACCAGCAAAGAGGGCGGTGATACCTGGGGAGAGGGGGCGTGCTCAGGAGAGAGCAGGGCCAATGAAAAAGGGCGGGCATACCCAAGAAAGGGGCGGGGCCTGTGTGGAGAGATGGGGATTCGCTGAAGAGGGTGTGTGCCGAGGAGAAAAGGCGGAGTCAACCAGGGGTGGGGGAATACCCGGGAGGGGGCGGGGCTAACACTGAAAGGGAGATTCCTGACCCAGAGGCAAGTAAGCCAAACAGTGGAAGTCAGAAAGAGAAGGCAGTAAATTAATTGTCTAGGGCAGCACCGTATTTTTATGCAAATAACATGTAACTTCTACATTTCTTCGCCAACAGCTCCCTCCCCACGGAGGCATTTTTGGAAATGTGCCATGCTAATTTTTTTTTAACAGCAACATATTTTTTAAAAAAATTGACATAGAGTCCACTTACTTCCTGAGGGGAGGGAGCAGTTGGCGAACAAACGTAGAAAGCGCGTTATTTGCATAGAAATATGGTAACGCGACCAGCAAAAGAAGTTACCCAGGAAAGCAGGGGGAGATACAAGGGGCAGGACAGGGTCATCCTAGAAAGTGGGCGGGGCCACAAGGGGAAAGGGGAGGAGTCAATATGTGGCATAATCAAGGAGGGGTGGAGTAACCTCATAAAAGGGGTGGAGCTAGAAAGGAAGGGGCCAGGCTATCTTTGGAAAGGAATCAGTGTTGGAGCATTCAGTGTGTATATAGGTGCCCCTTTCCCAGGGGCACTCAGTGGGGCTGCAGGATGCCCCTTTAGGAGTGGAGTGACTGAGCAAAGTGGGTGAGTTCAGAAAGAGAATGGGGCAGGGTTAACTCCCGGAGGGGAGGGGCTAGATGAAGAAGAGGTGGAGTCTGCACACCAAGAGGCGGGTCTAGAGGAAAAAAGCTGCATCTTTGGTGCCTAGCTCTCCCCTCCTTCCATAGATCTGCCTCCTGGCTCTCCACAGTGTTCAGTTGAAGGAGGACCCCGGGACCGCAGCCTCCGCTTCCGGTGCACGTGGCCTGGTGGGGTCCCTGCCGCCTCTCTGCAGTTCCAGGGTCTCCCAGAAGGCGTCCGCGCTGGACCAGTGCCCTCCACGCTGCTGGCAGCCGTCCCTGCCCACCCCCAGCTCAGTGGCGTCACCGTCACCTGCCTCGCTCACCACCTGATGGCCACGCGTACCTGCAGCGTCACTCCAGGTGAGAGGGGGCAGGGCTTTGTTCTTGTGCCCCAAGGAGGGGAGGGACTTTTCCTTTGATCTATTAGGACTTCGTGAAGGGTCTTTGAGGGTCCTACCAAAACCAAGCTCACTGCTATGGAGTCGATTCTGACTCCTAGCGCCCCTAGAGGACAGAGTGGAACTGCCCCAGAGGGTTTCCAAGGTTGTCAATCTTTCTGGAAGCTGACTACTTCATCTTTTTATGAGGAGCACCTGGTGGGTTAGAACCACCAGCATTTCAGTTAGCCCAGCGCCTAACCATTGTGCTAGCAGGGTTCTCTGTAAAGATTGACAGCCTTGGAGACCCTGTGGTGCAGTTCCACTGTGTCCTCTAGGGGCGCTGTGGGTCAGAATCCCCTCCAGGCACTGGGTTTGGTTTGGGCTTTGCTCCTCTAAAGATTGACAGCCTTGGAGACCCTGTGGTGCAGTTCCACTCTGTCCTCTAGGGGCGCTGTGGGTCAGAAGCGACTTCAGGGCAGCTGGCTCTGGTTGGTCTCAGGGTTTCTCAGGCTGTAATTTTTACCAAAGCAGGCTGCAACGTCTTTCCCCTCCCTGCCCGCCCCGCACAGCTGCTGGGTGGTTTTGAACAGCCATCCTTTTGGTGTTGGCAGCCTAGTGCCACCAGGTCTCCTTTAAATCCATGGTGAGGGGTTTGACTTGCTTAATGAGCGTCTCCCCCTTGCAGAGGCCCCCCGAGAGGTGCTGCTTCACCCGAGGGTGGAAGAGACTCGGGCAGGGGAGGCCGAGGTGGCGCTGGAGGCCTCTGGCTGTCCCCCACCCTCGCGAGCGTCCTGGGCCCGGGAAGGGCGGCCCCTAGCCCCGGGTCGTGGGGGTCGCCTACGGCTCAGTCAAGACGGGCGGAGGCTCCTCATTGCCAACTTCAGCCTGGACTGGGACCTGGGGAATTACTCCGTGCTGTGCAGCGGGGCTCTGGGCGCCGGCGGCGACCACATCACCCTCCTTGGTAAGCCCCACACGGTCCCAGACCCTGGAGACCCGGCCCCTCCTCCCCCTGACCCGGGGGACCCGGCCCCTCCTCCTTCAGACCCGGGGGTCCCGGCCCCTCCTCCCCCAGACCCGGGGGTCCCGGCCCCTCCTCCCCCAGACCCGGGGGACCCGGCCCCTCCTCCCCCAGACCCGGGAGACGCGGCCCCTCCTCCCTCAGACCCGGGGGTCCAGGCCCCTCCTCCCTCAGACCCGGGGGTCCCGGCCCCTCCTCCCCCAGACCCGGGAGACCCGGCCCCTCCTCCCTCAGACCCTGGGGTCCCGGCCCCTCCTCCCTCAGACCC